ATATATATTATATATTCCATGGTTTAATTCTGTTCGGTTAGTTGTTAATTCTGGATAGACAGGTCTCAGGATTCATGTGGTGTGTATTTAAACCTGGTTTAACATTCTTATTTATGTACAATATTTATTAAATTATTGACATTTAATTCAAAAAGAACTGCACACAAAAATCATGCAACCTCTAAAATAAATAAATGAATAATGTATGAATAATAGATGTTATATCTGTGGAAACTGTCACAAAAGTTTACTCTTGCCTTAAACTGAAAAATACTATAAAAATGTCCCCAGAAAATAGAAGAAAAATACTGAAGAGTGTTTGCCATAAGTGTTTGAGAATATTAATATGTTTAACGTTTAGCAAGCTATATGTAAGAAAATGCATAAAGGTTATAAAGGCATCTCCATCTAACCCTGTCCAGCTAAGAGCCGGGCAATCCCCATTCCAGTGGACCTGGACGGTCAGGTCAATACCCTTTCACTAAAGACACACACCAGCATGGTGCAGCGCGCAGTGAAAGACTGGAAGCTGTCAACCCGCGGCCGACCCCGTAAGGAGCCTTTTGGGGCCCATGATTACAGGATCATTGAGAAACTACAGGTAACGTCACCTTCAAATCTAAAACTGTCACTGTTATTCGACCTCACAGTTTTATAAAGGCAACTGACCAATCAGAATCAAGTACCATATTTTCTGGAACATAAATTGCATTTTTCCTTATCATCGGAAGTGTGCTGCGACTATTTACTTTCAGTTTCAATTTAAGTAAATTAATTTAGGTTTGCCATTTATAATAAATGTTGTTTGTAATTAATGCCACTATAGTTTATGTTTGTTTTATACTTAAATAGTTAATTCCTGTTCTATTCTGGATACTATTAAATGTAAAAGATTTAAGTGAGGGAAACTGAAATACATGTTTATTGTGTTTATAATGTAAATTGTAAAGTGAAAACTTTGCGTTTACGTTTATTTCTTAATGTAATAATAACGTGACTTATACAACTATGCAATGTTTTTTTTATGTCAAAGTGTATTTATTCAAGATTTTAATGATATACAAAAAACAAACGTCAGCACAATTCAATTTTGACCCTGTGCAGCTTGTTTTCCCGGAAAATACAGCCTTCCAGAAAGCTATTATTTAAAAAAAAGTAACAATAATAGTATACCACATTGCGCATCGTCACTGATCCAATCATTAGCTTATGCTACACTGCTAATTAGATAACAGTAATAGTATTTGTGCATGTTAAATGTCTTCTGTCTATGACACTGACTACTGCTTTTGATTGGATGTTATGTGTATGTGTTTCAGGGAGTCATTGTGTATCTGGAGGAGCAGTTTAGTCCGCAGGTGCATGCAGAGTTTTCTGTATTAGTAGACGTGCTGCAAAGCCCAGAGATGCTGTTTCCTGAGTCTACGCAGCTCCGCAGTGAGGATGGAGCCTTCATGTCTAAGTGAGACATGCACCCACATCAAACTAATTAAAGGCGTGCGTCATACGCGATGAATATATTAAACAAGTCCAGTGGCAGTGTTAAATGTCTTCTGTCTATGACACTGACTACTGCTTTTGATTGGATGTTATGTGTATGTGTTTCAGGGAGTCATTGTGTATCTGGAGGAGCAGTTTAGTCCGCAGGTGCATGCAGAGTTTTCTGTATTAGTAGACGTGCTGCAAAGCCCAGAGATGCTGTTTCCTGAGTCTGCGCAGCTCCGCAGTGAGGATGGAGCCTTCATGTCTAAGTGAGACATGCACCCACATCAAACTAATTAAAGGCGTGCGTCATACGCGATGAATATATTAAACAAGTCCAGTGGCAGTGTTAAATAGCCATAGGTATGACATTATAAATCCATGAGAATTTCGGCTAAAACTCCAAACATTTACGTCAGCAGCACCCTTAACTGATTGTCTGTTGTATGTTTGTCTGTAAAAATGGGTTTAAAACATGTAAATGGCTATTTGAATTGAATTGAAAATATGTTCATGTTTGTATGTATGTGTTGGACCTGGTTGTGCTGTGATTAGTATACCAGCAGCATCATATATGAGCTATAAAATGTGTTTATTGTGAATGTGCCTGGGGTTCTGAGTGCCTTATATAAGCAATTATCTGAGTCTGAGCAAGATATACCTCTAAAATCACAGACCGTCTGCGTGTGATTATATAAGTCTACATGACTAGGACATAAAGCAGATTTCCTGTTTTATTTGTCACAACATTTTTGGACATTACATTTATTGAAATAACAGGACTTATGGAAAATTGTTGCAAAAACAATTCAAATACTTACTGAATTGAAAACAGTCTCAAACTGCCAACCCCACAGTATGTGATATTGTCATATGTGGCTGGACTTTTTTCTTTTAGTTTTTTTTCTTAAAATCCGGCTTGCAAATCAATTGATTTTATTTACAGATGTCAAATATATGGATTGATTACAATGTAGACTACTGTTCAAACGTTTTGGGTCAGTACGTTTTTATTTAATTTTTTACAGAAATTAATAGTTTTGTACAGCAAGGATGCATTAAATTGAGAAAAAGCAAAACAGTGAAGACTTTTGCATTGTTACAAAAGTATCCTGAAAACACGTTAATGTTAAGCAGCACAACTGTTTTTAACATTGATGAGAAATGTTTCTTGAGCACCAAATCATCATATTATAATGATTTATGAAGGATCATGTGACACTGAAGACTGGAATAATGATGCTGAAAATTCAGCTTTGCCATCACAGGAATAAATTATTTTGATTTGTAATAATTTTTAACTTATCAACATATCAGAATGATTTCTGAAGGATCATGTGACACTGAAGACTGCAGTAATGATGCTGAAAATTCAGCTTTGCATCACAGGAATAAATTATTTTTTTAAATATATTAAAATACAAAACAGTTATTTTAAATTATAATAATATTTCACAATATTATTGTTTCTACTGTATTTTTAATCAAATAAACTGCGTTGGTGAGCATAAATCTTACTGGCCTCAAACTTCAAATGACAGTAGTGTACTTTCAGTCCTTAAGTATTTTATCAACTGTTAAATACCAGTTTTGTCATGTATCTACCCTTTTAATGGGACTGTTACCTTCATAATCTATTGTTCTCAAAGAATACACATTCTCAAACATTTGTAGTTGATGTGACTGGTCAAGTGGCCAAGTTGATATCCTTGAATTATATTACATGTTTAGTGTGAAATATGATACAATATTTTCTCTCAGGCTCATCAAACACACCAAGAAACTGATGGAGAAAGAGGAGAAGCTGTGTATTAAGATCCTGCAGACCCTGCGAGAGATGCTGGATAGGAAAGAAATATTCGAGGAAAAGGTAAGTGTGGTGGGAACTTTCCGTAACCTTATTCTGGCCTTTTTTGCTCACACTTTTTTTTTATGAGTGAATATATTATCTTAGACTGTAATTATGAGAGTGGGAAATGTATGTTGGTTGGCCAGTAACCACCAGAAGAGGTCGATAGTGCCAAAACCAAGGACTGTGAACCTGATGAACCCTGTGTTGGCTGTGTTTGCTGTGTTGTTGTATTATAAACATTATGACATAGTTTTTATGATATCACAGTGAGTGGCGGAATGTCAGCACTTATTTTTGCTTAAAATCTTACTGACCTCAAACTATTCAACAGTAGTGTACATTTAGTCCTTAAATAATTCAATAACATCTGACTGTTATATAAAATCCAGTTTTGTCACGTGTCTAGCCTGTAAATGGGACTGTTACCTGCTTAATCTATTGTTCTCAAGAAATACAATCTCAGCCAGCATTACTCCACTAAACACAAAGAATTATATTCTAAATATTTTAGGTTAAAAAATAAGATGAAAATGTCTTTTGATACATCATTAATTGTATGTATTGATTATAGTTAAATGCATGGTTGCAAAACATTTGTAGTTGATGTGACTGGTCAAGTGGCCAAGTTGATATCCTTGAATTATATTACATGTTTAGTGTGAAATATGATACAATATTTTCTCTCAGGCTCATCAAACACACCAAGAAACTGATGGAGAAAGAGGAGAAGCTGTGTATTAAGATCCTGCAGACCCTGCGAGAGATGCTGGATAGGAAAGAAATATTCGAGGAAAAGGTAAGTGTGGTGGGAACTTTCCGTAACCTTATTCTGGCCTTTTTTGCTCACACTTTTTTTTTATGAGTGAATATATTATCTTAGACTGTAATTATGAGAGTGGGAAATGTTGGTTGCCATGCCAGTAACCACCAGAAGAGGTCGATAGTGCCAAAACCAAGGACTGTGAACCTGATGAACCCCCCTTGTGATAAGTTTAAAAGTATAAAGGCACGGTTCCATTAGCGAGATTTCAGCACAATTTTGCATGCAAAAACAGGTCTATTTTCAATAGTATAGCGACGTATGAAGTACAGCTTTCAAACCAAGCAGGTTTCTTTTGTTTTGTGCAGCGAAATGTTGTGAGGGAACTTTTTCACCCTCACACAAAACTCCCGATCACACAGATTTCTATTAGAATGACTGAAATTGACGATGAGGAACAGTAGATGTTACTGCACCTTAAAAGTTGTTACGTCTCTCTACCACAAAATATTTTTTCCATGTATGTTTTAGTTTTGGAGCATACATTCTCCACAGGGTTTGGCTGTGTTTGCTGTGTTGTTGTATTATAAACATTATGACATAGTTTTTATGATATCACAGTGAGTGGCGGAATGTCAGCACTTATTTTTGCCAGTTGGAACATATTGAATCAGCATTTGTTAAATCAGAATTTGTTGAATCAAAAATTTGCCTGTGAAATTTTGCCAAGCAATGGTAAATGTAACCGCATATTATTCAAAGCGACTCTCTATTTAAGCAGGAAGCACACACTGTATAAAGACATTGGTAGATGTCTTGTATTTTATATGTACAATAAACAGATTAATTACAACGTAAAGGGAAAAAAGTTGAGATAAGATTAGAAAGCATGAAGTTTGTGAATGCCAGAATGCCTGTCTATCAGTCATGTCCAAAGCAAGACTCAAGTCAGCACATAGCCCATGCATTATGATAACTAAATAGTGAATAAATTACTGTAGAGTGATTCCTTATACAAAGTGCACAACAAATACACTAAACACGGAATCTTAAATACGTGTGACGCACTAGAACAGACCTCGTTGCTCTTGCCTTTCTCACACGCACATTTGAGAGTCTTCTTGCAGTGGACTGTTGAAAGTGCATACCGCCACCTATTGCATGACACCGGCATGACAGCTGATGAATCATCGGTGGATCTGGCTTAGGAGAGCCGATATGATTAGTTAAAAAAAGCTTAATCGGCCCCGATCCTTGAGATCGGCTTGGGACATCCCTAATTATGATATCACAGTGCGTTGCAGAATGTTGTAAACGTAACATACAAGACTTGTGACTAATTTAGAAGTGTAAAGGTGTGGTCAAATTAGCGATTTTCGGCGAAATTTCATGTGCAAAAAACAGGTCCGTTGTTTATGTCGAGCTGTATGAAGCACAGATCACACAAAACTCACTTTCAAACCAAGCAGTTTTATGTTGGTCAGCGTGATAAATTTGTGTGATAACCTTGAACGTGAGCGAAATTTGTGCAGGGAACTTTTTTTATCCTTGCGCGAAACGTCCAGTCGCACAGATTCCTTTTAGAACGGCTGGAATTCACCCTCAAAATTTCGCTGAGCAGCGATAAACGTGGCCACACATTAAAAGGGATTTGTTTCGTCTCTCCACCAAAAAAAAACAAAAACTGGTTTGCGCAATTCCACATCTGTACGTGTTTGTTTATTTTGGAGCGTTCGTTCTCCACTGGGTTTGGCTGTTTGCCATGTTGTTGCATCATAAACATTATGACATCATGGTCATTATGACATCACAGTGAGTGGCGAAAAGTCTTAAATGTATTTTAAGTTTAGAAGTGTAAAAGAAGTGTAAAAGTGACTCGTTGGATTTGTTCCATCTCTCCACCACAAAAAAGATAGTTTGCGTAATTCCACGTCCGTATGTGTTTGTTTATTTTGGAGCGCTCGTTTTCCACGGGGTTTGGCTGTTTTGCCGTGTTCTTCCCGCCCTGAGAGTGGTGCTGCGGTTTCATGCAGGCCTGCTCGGCACAGACCGCCTGCTCCCCGGGGAGACCGAGAGTAGGAGGGCGAGCGAGGGAAAGAAGGAGGGAGGGAGCGAGCATGTGAGAAGCCATGTGAGGCAAGAGAAAAAAGCGTGGCACAGCAGCAGGCGGAGGGATTGGAGAGGCGCGATGTCTGCTGAGTCCATGAGGCGATGGAGCGGGGGGCGTTTACGTAACCAGCCTGCAGTGTCTGAGCCAACCTCACGTGGCTCATCATGTTCTCGCTCTCGCTCACTCGCTCGGTCTCTCCCATCATTTAGCTCTTGTTTATTTCAGTCTTTGTTTTTGGGTTGAAATTCTCTTTCTTTCTATCTCTCGCCAATGACTTGGTGATTTGGTTGCTGAGCAGCAGGTCATGACTCACGAGCAGATATAATTGGCCTCTCTCTCTCTCTCTCGAATGATCACTTGTCAGCGTGGTGAGCTGAACGTGAGCATGTGTCTGCACACAATGTACAAAATGTTTAAAATGTCAAGCAGGTGCTGTTGTTCTGCTGTATTTTAGATATGTGGTAATGGCCAAACGGTCACAGCAGAGAAAGCTGAGCACAAAGCTTCAAAGTGGCGAGAGTATCCGTGTATTTTCCTGTGTGTTTATTCAGTTTTTGACACTATAGAAGAAGTATGTGTAGTTGTGTTTAGGAACATTTGACTTGTGGTTCCAGGGAGGGTGTGGTTTTGACTGTTCTAATTTTAATTGATTTATTGACTTCTCGCTCTCGCTCGGTCTCTCCCATCATTTAGCTCTTGTTTATCTCAGTGCTTTTTCTCTTAAGTCTTTGTTTTTGGGTTGAAATTCTCTTTCTTTCTATCTCTCGCCAATGACTTGGTGATTTGGTTGCTGAGCAGCAGGTCATGACTCACGAGCAGATATAATTGGCCTCTCTCTCTCTCTCTCGAATGATCACTTGTGTCAGCGTGGTGAGCTGAACGTGAGCATGTGTCTGCACACAATGTACAAAATGTTTAAAATGTCAAGCAGGTGCTGTTGTTCTGCTGTATTTTAGATATGTGGTAATGGCCAAACGGTCACAGCAGAGAAAGCTGAGCACAAAGCTTCAAAGTGGCGAGAGTATCCGTGTATTTTCCTGTGTGTTTATTCAGTTTTTGACACTATAGAAGAAGTATGTGTAGTTGTGTTTAGGAACATTTGACTTGTGGTTCCAGGGAGGGTGTGGTTTTGACTGTTCTAATTTTAATTGATTTATTGACTTAAATGATTTATTCATGCATCATTTTTTTTTTTATTGTGTTCCCTCGTAATCTTTAATCAAAAACACTAACTTCCTCTAGCCCTCGCAATAATTTAAATATTTTCATGACATTGTCATAAAAATAAACTCGGAATAAAGTTTTCTATAATTTCTAATTAGTTTTTAAATTTCTAATAGTATTGGGACCACATTCCTTGCTAACTACTGTGTAGTCACTTTATTTATCCGTCTCAAAAGTTTGAAAAAGGTAGTTTCATCATATGACCCCTTTAAGCTAGCACATCAAAAAAAAAAAAGTGTTTAAATCATGTTCTTGTCTTACCCCAAGTCACCCTGGTAAACCTACAGTATTTAATTTTATATTTAGAGCTGTCCTTTCATTCCACCCTATATCACTTGCAATTTCATGTTTTAGCCACAGGTGTCAAAAGAGGGCCCAGATTTTTGTATTGCATTTTAATGCATTATCTCTTACACTGTTGAAAATTCTTCCTTCTCCTTGTAACTGTGTTTTTGTATTTGTAAGGGTGTTGTTTTTTTCCCGTCCCACCCTCATTGTTTAAATAAGTCATCAAGCATGGTGCAAGAGGTGTGTGGTCACCATGGAAATGAGCCCAGAACATGCTGTACTGCTCCTTTTCATTTAAGAGTCAGAAAAACACACCTGTAGATGATCCACAGGAGGTCCAGAGTATGCAGCAGGAGTAAGCTTTAGTGAGGAGGCTAACTTTTGGAGCAGTATGTTCTCAACAGCTTAGATCATGTTCTCTATTGATATTCATCCTGGTCAGCTTGTTCTGCATACACACCATTGGAAAACACCGTAGTTACTTCATAGGGATATTTTTAGAATAGAATCTTCAATAAATGGAAAATCCAAGCAGGCCCAGTGGAATTTGCTTAGTACAGTGTCTGAATCTTTCCCACATTATTATTTACAGGCCATTACTAAAGTATTACAGCTCAACTAAATATATAGGCTGCA